TCTGTCTCAAAAAAAAAAAAAAAAAGAAGAGCCTGGAACTGTAGGTGCCCACACTTCAGGAGCATTTGTCCCCTTGGAGCTATAGGCCATCACGACAAGCCTTTGAAGAAAGCAGGGACAAAATCATCTTTCCTTAGCAAATCAGAAAGCTGTGGCTATGAGGGTTCAAGTGGCCTTTCTATGGATTGGAAGTGATAGAGATGAAATGGGAACCCAGGTCTCCTGGCTCTCTGCCTCTGCCCCCTCCACCAGCTTATGAACAGAGATACTCAGAATCTCTCTAGTAGCTGTGTTCCCCTCCTGTCCGCTACTCCACATCCATCCAACTGGTTATCAAGCTTTTAGCATCCCTCCTGCTAAACACCCAGGGAAGCCCCACCATCCTGCTTCCACAGCAGCCCTGTAGGAGGTCCCCATCACCTGTTTTGTTGCAGCAGCCTCCCAGCTGTCATCCCATGCTTTCTAGTCTCATGGTCACCAGCTGCCAGAGCTCTTTCTAAAACTCAAGACTGACCCCTTCTGCCTAAAACTCCTCTGAGACATCAATGAAACTTAACCCTGGATAAGAGATAATTTCCTTTTCTTGTTTCTACTCCTCCATGTCTGCCAACTTTTCTTTCTTTTTCTTTTTTTTTTTTATCAAATCATAGCTGTGTACATTAATGCAGTCATGGGGTAAAGTGTACTGGTTTTATATACAATTTGAAATGCTTTCATCAAACTGGTCAACATAGCCTTCATGGCATCCTCCTAGTTATTGTGTTAAGACATTTATATTCTACATTTAGAAAGATTCACATGTACCCTTGTAAGAAGAATCATAGGTGTGGCCCCACCAAACACCCTCTCCTCTCCCCTCCCTCCCTCTCCCCTTCCCCCATATTCTTGGGCTATAATTGGGTTATAGCTTTCCTATGAAAGCTATAAATTAGTTTCATAGTAGGGCTGAGTACATTGGATACTTTTTCTTCCGTTCTTGAGATACTTTGCTAAGAAGAATATGTTCCAGCTCTATCCATGTAAACATAAAAGAGATAAAGTCTCCTACTTATACAACCAGAAAAAGTTAACTCACAATTTTTTTTTTTTTGAGATATGGTCTTTCTCTATTGCCCAAGCTATAGTGCAGTGGTGTGATCATAGCTTACTGTGAACTCAAATTCCTAGACTCTAGTGATCCTCCTGCCTCAGCCTCCCAAATAGCTGAGAATACAGGTGCCCACCACCATGCCCAGCTCATTTAGGGGGAGGGGTTTGTAGAGACAGGGTCTCCCCTTTGCTCAGCCTGGTCTCGAACTCCTGGCTTCAAGCAATTCTCCCACACTGGTCTCCCAGAGTGCCAGGATTATAGGTGTGAGCCATCTCACCCAACCAACCCACAATTTTTAATGATCCTCCAGTCTTTCCAAAATAACATCTAAATACCTTCAGCAGCACAGACAAGATTTTGCCTGTCTCCTGAACCACATCTCCTGTTAGTCTAAGTCCCTCCTCTTTTTCCCTATAAACCCTTTCCCATCTCCAAAATATGCCTTATCCTCTATCAGTATAATAGATATTCAAATTGCTGGTCATTCCCTGAACATCTTGTGCTTTTTTACACTTTTGGATTTTTCAAATATGCTTCCATCCTTCTTTTTTCTAGATGGAGGTAGGAGAAACGTCTAATCCATCTTCCAAACCTCTGATGTCACTCACCTCCACTGTGAAGCTTTTCCTGATAACCATCTCCTACCACTGAGTCAAACCCCTTTTTAATACTGCTTGGTGTGCTTATCTAGTACAGTTATATATGTGACATCCCTACCAGGGACAAGGACAGTGCTGATATGTGCCCCAATAAATATGTACAAAGCAAAACCAGAAGGGATCTCATTCTTTGGTTGGGTTTGGTGTTATTTGTTGGGGTTATTTTGTGCTGGATTCCTCCAGAAGCAGAACCTGAAACAAAGATTTGGAAGTATGTAGTTTATTTAGGAAGTGATCCCTGGACGCACTGGTAGGGGAGCTAGGAAAGTAGATGGAGAGGGAAGGAAACCAACAGAGGAGGGACTAAGGAACTGTCCCTGCGGGGAACAACTGATGTTTCATCTTTATGGAGACCTCTGGAGATTGCACAGAGCATGCTTCAGAATTGTCTCACTCAAGGGGCAAGGACAGGGGAGTGTTTGTCCATGAAGGTTGTCCCCAGGGTGCCACCTTGCCAGCATGCCCATCCTGATGAGCGGGAGGAGCAGAGTCCCAGGTCCCGGCAGGGTCGATTGGTGTTGGCAGAAGTGGTGAACAGTGAGAGTGTGCACAGGGCCCTGGAGTGTTGACTACGGGGTGGAGGGAGACACTTCCCCGCTGCACACAGCAGCCTCGGAGCCCGATGAGCAAGTCCTGTGGGCTCCATCTGTGCTTTCAGAGACTGCCCGGGGTCAGCAGCGCAGACACCAGGCTGGCGCTGGGCTGAAGGCGTCTCGTCTCGTCTCTCCTCTCTCTATCCCCAACCCAGACTCCCTGCCACGGGGCCATGTGGCTTCTCTAGGTGCCCTGCTTTCTGCCCTCCCCCAGGTGGCCTGAGGGCAAGTTGTGCACAGGAGGCTGGAGCATTATCAGAGCTGATGTGATCTCTGGGGAGGCATCACTTCCACTTACCAGGCATGTGGTGACACAGGCCATGGGGTACAAGACAATGGCTGGTCTGGTGAGTGCAGCTCTGGCTGTCTCCCCACAGACACCGAGACACACAGAAGCTGGGCTGGGACACATCTGGGACCCAAGGGGCTGGGTCCTGAGGGGACACTTTCTGAAACTACACCTCCATTGCACCAGTGGGAAAACTAATATCTCTTTCTTTCTCTTTCTCTCTTTCTGTCTCTTCTCCTCCTCCTTCTTCCCTCCCTCCCTCCTTTCCTTTCTTTATCTCTCTTTCTCTTCTTTTAGTTCTGTATTTCTTCTCATACTTCTTTCCTTTTTTGATCAAGGTGCAAGGGACCTGTGTTTTCATTGCACCTGTGATCATTGCAGCTGATCATCTGTCATTGGTATAAGTTGTGCTTCATTTACAAGCAGCTTAAGCGTCCCCTCATTAAAAACTCTCATGAGCTGAAATCAGACCTCCTCAGGACAACTCCCACTGAAGTCCCCTGGGGGTGCTTAAGGCGCTGACTTACCCAGATGTGGCTCTATCCTCGGACTCTTCTCTGCTAACTCCTAACCTAATTGACCACATCCAGGTGCCAGCATTAAAAAGCATGGTCCATTGTTGACCTTCACATCTCTATCTTTGCCTGGGCCACCCCCATGAACTCCATGTGCCTTTATCCACCTGCAGACTGGATATTGCCTGAGTAACAAAGGCACCTGAGACTCGCCACACCCAAAGTAAGGTCCTTGACCTCTTCTTCCCGACCCACACCCACACCTGCTCCTCTGCAGT